CCAGTAGTTTATTTTTGCTTTTGTTTCCCTTGCCTCAGGAGACACATCTACAGGTGATGTCAGAGAAATTACTTCCTGTCCTCTCTTTTAGGATTTTTTCAAATGCCCAATTTTAAATCATGTAATCTTTTGGTAAGTTACTTATACTTTCTGTGCTTCAGTTTCCTCAACTGTAGTAGTATCTATCTCATAGAATTGTTTTGAAGATTATATGAGAGGCACGTGGGTGGCTCAGTTGGTTAAGCCTTTGGCTCAGGTCATGATCCCAGGGTCTTGGGATTGAGCCCACATCGAGCTCCCTGCTCAGCGGGAGCCTGCTTCTCTCTCTCCCTCTGCCTGCTGCTCCCCCAGCTTGTGCTCTTTCTCTCTGTCAAATAAATAAATAAAATCTAAAAAAATAAAGATAATGTTCTTTTAAAAAGTTATATGAGTCATTAAATGGGAAGCACTGGTTGACATTTAGTGGAACATTGTAGAAGTTTAATGAATGTGTTAGTTGGCTTCCCCCCCCCCCCCACTGGAGGGAAAGAGAAAGCTGAACTTAAGAAACAAAGTAAAACATATTTTAAAGAGCTAAGAAGTATCATCTCTTAGAGGAAACTTTCTTAGATATATTTGGTATTTCTATTATATCCAGTGCATAAGTCTCTTACATTTTATCTGTTTAACTGGTATCCTTCCCAAAAGACTAACATTCTCAAGAGGAGAAACCCTATCCTATTCATTAACTCATTCATTCATTCAGCCAGTCAACAAATATTTCAGTACAATCTGTATTTCAGTACCAGCCACTAGAAAGATAAAGTCCTTGCTTTCACTGAGTTTGCATTCCAAAGGAGGAAGCCAGACAATAAACCCAAACAAATGTGATGATTACATATTTTGATAAAAGCTATGCCAGAGTGGAGGTTAGGTTGCTGGGGTGGCAGGGCACAAAATAGGTCTTCAGTAACTTTTCTTTTCTTTTTTAAAAATTTTATTTATTTGTTTGAGAGAGAGAGCATGAGGGGGGGAAGGTCAGAGGGAGAAGCAGACTCCCTGCCAAACAGGGAGTCCGATGCAGGACTCGATCCCGGGACTCCAGGATCATGACCTGAGCTGAAGGCAGTGGCTTAACCAACTGAGCCACCCAGGCATCCCTTCAGTAACTTTTCTTGAACTAGTATATAAGTACAGAGGATAAGAAAGGATGAGTTAATAGTTATTAAGTATTTACTATAAGCTAAGCATAGCATAGTACTAAATACTATAGCTCTGCACTGTAAGTACTATATATTAATTGTATCATTTAATTCTCACAATAGCCCTGAAAGACCCATTTTACAGATGAATTAAAGGCTCAGGAGTTTAAATGACTTGTTCAAGGTCACAGGTAGTAAGTATCAGAACACAGATTTTAATCCAGAATCAAAGCTAATGCTTTTATTTTTACCTCTTTTTTAATTGAAGTGTAACTAACACATATATATTATATTATTATAACATTGTAGGGGGTGCACCTGGGTGGCTCAGTAGGTCAAGCATCTGCCTTCAGCTCAGGTCATGATCCCCGGGTTGTGGGATGAGGTCTTTCGATGGGCTCCCTACTCAGAGGGGAGTCTGTTTCTCCCTCTCCCTCTGCCCCCACCCCCCAGCTCATGTACTATATCTGCTCTCTCTCTCAAATAAATAAATAAAATATTTAAAATATATATTTGTGTATATATATAAATATGTTATATATATAATATATATGCTTTTATTTTACTTTTTTTAAAGATTTTATTTTATTTATTTGACAGAGAGATAGAGAGCACAAGTAAGCAGAGAGGCAGGCAGAGAGGGAGAAGCAGGCTCTCCACTGAGCAGGGAGCCCAACGCGGGGCTCAATCCCAGGACCCCAGGACCATGACCTGAGCTGAAGGCAGCTGCCTAACAGACTGAGCCACCCAGGCGCCCCTTAATGGAAGTATAATTAACATATGATTATATAATATATATCATTGTTATATATATTATAGTTCTACATTATATATATTATATATGATGTTATATATATGATGTTATATATAATATATGTATATCATTATACTTCAACATGTATATATACAACATACAGATATGTATTTTGTTATTACATATTGTTATACATTGTTATTATAATGTATAGTTATATATATTATTATATATAATATATAATTTTATGTTAATTATACTTCAACAGAAAAGGTAAAAATAAAAGCATATATAACATATTTATATATATATACACATATATTTTAAATATTTTATTTATTTATTTGAGAGAGGAGAGAGCAGATATAGTACATGAGCTGGGGGTTGGGGGCAGAGGGAGAGGGAGAAGCAGACTCCCCTCTGAGTAGGGAGCCCATCGAAAGGCTCCATCCCAGGACCAGGGGATCACAACCTGAGCTGAAGGCAGATGCTTAACCTACTGAGCCACCCAGGTGCCCCTATACAGTGTTACATTAGTTTCAGGTGTATAACATATTGACTCGACAGTTCTGTATGTTACTCAGTACTCACCACAAATAGTGTAGTCACCATCTGTCACCATATAGCATTATTACAATATTATTGACTATATTCCCTATGCTGTACTTTTCATCTTTGTGACTTTTTTATAACTGGAAGCCAATGCTTTCAATTATGATATAAGAGCTGGTAAATTCGGGGCACCTGGGTGGCTCAGTCGTTAAGCGTCTGCCTTTGCCTCAGGTCATGATCCCAGGGTCCTGGGATGGAGCTCAGCATCGGGTTCCCTGCTCTGCAGGAAGCCTGCTTCTCCCTCTCCCACTCCCCCTGCTTGTGTTCCCTCTCTCGCTGTGTCTCTCTCTGTCAAATAAATAAATAAAATCTTTAAAAAAAAAAAAAAAGCTGGTAAATTCTTCTAGACAAGCAGTTGATTTGGGAGAAGGTTGGTGGTAGACCTATGAAAAAGACCTTTTGAGGGGCGCCTGGAGGCTCAGATGGTTAAGCATCTGCCTTCGGCTCAGGTCATGGTCTCCAGGTCATAGGATCAAGCCCCACATTGGGCTCCCAGCTCAGTGGGGAGTCTGCTTCTCCCTCTCCCCCTGCTTGTGCTCTGTGTGTGTGTCTATCTCAAATAAATAAATAAATCTTAAAAAAAAAAAAGACCTTTTGGATTTGGGGCAGAACTAAGTCTGTTGAAGATTAAGCCTGTAAAGCAGATTCAAAGTGCAAAAATACCAGCCAGTAGGAAAAAAAATTACTGGTGTTGCTAGGAATAATTTCTCCCTCCTCCTATCACTTATAGTTTAAGACTCTACTGTTCTACCACTTGCTCTGTATAATTGGGCAAGATTCTTAACCTCTTTCAACTAAAATCTCTTATCTGACAAATAGAGATGGTAATACCTGCCAAACCCGATCAAGTAAAATACTGTATATGACTTATAAATTGGAATGATGTTTTAATTATTTAATGGACATACTGCTGCAGGGTGGTCACTGGGTTGTATATTTTTCTGTGCTCCACAGTACAAAAAGGGATCATCCTATGGTGTATATTTGCAGGCCTTTAGTAAATATTAGTTGAATAAATGAATGACATTCATCAGGCTTTTTAGCTATTATAATAATGTGCAGCAAGAACATGTAAGCTGGCATAGCTTTGTTAGTAATTTCAGTTATCTTGATAGTTTTGAGTTCACTGGAGCTGTACTGAATCTTGGATCTCAGTTGTATTAAAATAATTTTTTGCTTCTGAGAACCCATTTTATTTCATTTTTAGCAATCTTGCCTGGTGCTTAAACAGCTTGGTAAAGAGTGGGAATATGATATAGTGGAAGCATTCGGCTTTGCTGAAGCAAGAATACTTTGGGTTTGTGATGCTTAGCTAGCTGTAGGTACAGATGAGATACCATGCCAGATGCTGTACAGTATTTGTTAAAATATCTAGATTTTAATATGACCATCAGAATTAAAACTAGTGTTAGGCTTTTGTCTTCCAAGTTAAAATGTAAAATTAAAGAATATGATTTGGCACTGTTATTGTTTGAATAACATATGCTACTAAATCTAAGAAATTAGTTTTAGATATAGAACCCTTCATATTTAAAAATATCACTATTTTAAAGTTGTTTATTTGAGAATTTCATCTCCATAATGTACATATTTTAAAAAGAAGCTTTATTATCCCACTTTGGCCCTGATCATATTAACTTAAATAATTTTCTCTACGTTTCTTCCCTCTATTTTCACTGAAACACGGGAATAGGGGATAACCTTTAACCACCTTCCTGTGTACTACAGAATAGTGTAGGCCTTACTAAAGAATGAAGTGGACCTTAGGACCAGATGAAATAAGTAATAATCCACACATAATTTCAAGGGGGGGGGGGTTGAGGGCTGTTCTGTTCTATTTTTAAGTACTTCTACTAGTTAATAATGCTATCTAAAATCATAACACCAGTGTTATTCCTTTGGTTTAAGGTTTTGTTCTTGTTAAGATGCAGACATCCGGGGCGCCTGCGTGGCTCAGTCAGTTAAGCATCTGCCTTCGGCTCAGGTAATGATCCTGGAGTCCCAGGATTGAGCCCCGCACTGGGCTCCCTGCTCAGTGGGGAGTCTCTTCCCCCTCTGCCCCTCCCCCCCACTCTCTCTCTCAAATAAATAAAATCTTTTTTGAGAGCGAGGGAGCATGAGCAAGGTGAGGGGCAGAGGGAGAGGGAGAAGCAGGCTCCTTGCTGAGCAGGGGGCCCGATGGTGGGGCTCGATCCTGGAACCTTGGGATCATGATCTAAGCCTAAGGCAGATGGTTAACTGACTGAGCTACCCAGGCGCTCTGAAGGATTTTAAAAATCTGTTTTTAATATGAAGTCATCCAGAGCAACCCGCGCAGGTCCCCTCCCTCTTCAGGAGCTTTATACTCTATCACTCAATAAACTTTGCCTGCCCACCAAAAAAAAGAAAAAGAAAAAAAGAAATCCATTCATTTAAGAAATACTTATTGAGTGCTTACTGTATACCAGGTGCTGTTCTAGGTGCTGGAGATCAAGCTGTGAACAAGATTGACTGCACCTCTGTGGAGGACAAGAGGGAGATACATAGTATATTCACAAATAAGTTATAAGAAATAGGAGGAGCAGCTGTTTTTATGCGGAGTGGGTAAGAAAATCCTCTTTAATAATGTTACATTTGACAGAGACTTGAAGGAAGTGAGGGTATGAGCCGTATGAATATCTGAACAAAGGGGCTGATGTGATGGCATGATTGGTATGTTTGAGGAGGTATCAAGGAGGCCAGTACGGCTGGAGTGGATTGAAGAGGAGTAGAGTTGTAGGACGTGGTCAGTAAAGTAATGAATACCTGTGAGCAAATTTTTAAAAAATACATTTTTTTGTTTTGAATAATTTTTGGTGCACAGAAAGCTGCTAAGATAATATTCCCATCTACCTCTTTTCTAGTTTCCCCCAACATTAACATCACCTTGACAAACTAAGAAACCAGCATTGGTAAATTACTATTAATTAAACTCCAGACTTAATTTCAATTTCATAGTTTTTCCACTAATGTCTTTTTCCTATTGAAGGATCCAACTCAGGATGCCATATACATTTAATCATTATGTCTCCTTAATCTCTTTTGGTCTGTGACAGTTGCTTACTCTTTCCTTGTTTCCTCTGACCTCAACAGCCTTAAGGATCTCTGGCCAGGTGTTTTATAGAATGTTCTTCAGTTGGGTTTATCTGATAATGTTTTCCAAATGACTAGACTGGGGTTATAGGTTTTTAAGAATACCCAGAATTTCAGTGCCCTTTTCCAGGAGGGGAAGCTAACTCCATCCTTGCTTGGAGGGCTGACTCAGTTCCAAATTAAAGAGTATAGAGAAGCCTGGCAATGTTGTTTTAACCCAGTGATTAAGATTAATATTACCAGTGGTAAGCTATGTTGATATGATGTGATGAGTTGAATAGATTTTGATATAGAGATAACATGTGAGAAGATGTGATTTTTGTAAAAGCTTTGCCCACTATAATTTTCCATAGACTATACTTACTAAGAAGTATACATAATATATGGTAAAGTTAATTTAAATCTAGATTTTTTAATAAAGATTTTTTTTATTTATTTACTTGACAGAGAGAGAGAGCATGAGCAGGGGGGAGAGGCAGAGGGAGAGGGAGAAGCAGACTCCCTGCCGAGCACAGAGCCTGATGCAGGGCTCGATCCCAGGACTCTGGGATCATGACCTGAGCTGAAGGCAGACGCTTAACCAACTGAGCCACCCAGGCGCCCCTAAATCTAGATTTTTGACATTTTTCCTTACCTTCCACAGTTATTCTCTAGCACCAGAGATTGTTATCTTGCGGTGTATGTATGTGAAATAGAAAAAGGAGAGGGAAGAAGGCTTTGTCTACTTATGCCTGTTTTTGTAGTAACCCACAAGCATGTCAGTAGTTGCAATGACTAAAGACTATATAGAATCACATAGGTCAGTAGTTTGTTAATTTGTAAAAGTTCTGAACTACACATCTTTTTAACTCTCATTCTACTCAGAGTTGGCTGTATTAAACACTATTATTACATCCCAAATAATTTTATTTTTGTTGCAAATTTAAGGGACTTTAAAAGTGTTTATTAAATGCATTATAGCTTACCTACTTTGCAATGTGGGATGGAATTAATATTGGATGAGCAGACTGAAGGTGTGTGTTCTTGGTCCTGTCACATTACTTCCCAAATATGACTAGTTCATTTAACTAATTTTTCACATTTATAAAATGAGAATAGCCATGCCTTTTACTTAACATGGACTGTCAGAGATGCCCCATGTAAATAAAATTTAAAGGCCATTAAATAGTTTGGGGAAAAAATAGTTTTAGGTAAAATATTCCAATTAAGCGACTGGAGTAACTTAGTTTAAGGTTGTTTTAAGGATTAAATGAGATCATGTACATAAAGACAGTACCTGACACATGATAAATTCTCAATAAACAGAAAATAGCTGATAGAGGTAAAATTTTCTATTGTTCCATTTTTCTGATCCTATTTAAGAAAAATAGTTAAGTTTTGTTCATTCTTCATAAGCCTTTGATAATTTCCTGTTGCTAAAGAAATTATAACAGAAGCTAACTAATCAGATGTTAGGGATGCTATAGAGAGAATCCCTACCTGCAAAACTGATGGCTGAGTAGATGACTTCTATGGTTCCTTCCAATTCTATGATTTTTTTTAAAGTAATCTCTACACCCAATGTGGGGCTCAAACTCATGACCCCAAGATCGAGAGTTGCATGTTCTACCAACTGAGACAGCCAGGTGCCCCTGTGATTTTATGTTTTAATATCTATTATACCTATCTGACAGGGTTTGATAAAGGTAACCAAAATAATATATGTGAAAACTCTGTGTAAACATAGAGTACCATACAAATATGTGATATTTATATACCACTAATTAGCTAGTTAACAGAGATTCATTCAGTAACTGTAAACACTTTATTCACTGGCAATTAAAGGGTACACCTGATGTGTTGAGATTTTTTTTCTGGTGAGACCTAGAGTTTACTATTATTATAATTGTTACTGTTATTATTTGTTTATGTTTCTTTTCCTAGCTAGACAATTATAATACTTTTTTATATAGCTTATATTCTCCTATTTCTTCCAGTCCATTTACTTTCTATGACAGGTCTTTCGAAGGCGATGCTCAGAGAGATTGCTATGGTTAAGGTTATAATTCAGCATTTCCATTATGGAGATGCCTTTCCAAAAACCATTTAAAAATAGACAGTAGCTCCCTGCAATCAGATTAATCAGATTCTCTCAGCTTGACGCTACTACTCTTGGTTTAACTTCAGCAACACAGAACCAGCTTTATGGTGACTTCAAAAGAGAAGCTAGAACTGGAAAGTAAAATTATTTTGAAACCTGCTGTAATGTCTACTGCCAATTATTTCTTCTCATTATGAGAATAATACATACTTTGTACTATCCTGCTGCTGCTGCTGCAAAAAAAAAAATGTTTTACTACTCTTTTTTTTTTTTTTTACATTTTCTTCAGTTTTCATTTACTGATCCTACCAGATCATTTCAAAGTCAAATTGTAATTTTATTTTCTGGTTCCCTAAGGGGTAGCATTTAAAGAAAATTGCAGCAAATTACTCTATCCTTAGTCTGAATTTTATTTTACCACTATGAACAAAGGCATTTTCCTAGATATTTTTCATATAATTCCTGAAAATAGTTTCTTAGATCTTTCTCAGTATCAAAAGCCAGGCTGAGATTCTTATTTTGTCCCTGGTTGCTGTGTTTTGTTACTTACCCTGACAAGCATTCCTGTTTCTTTTCTTTTTTTTTTCCTTCTTCCCTAGTTTATTTTCTGAATTTAACAGTGGGGAATCATTTGACTGTGCTCACAGCAGGTAGTAAGTACTGTGGTAGTCACTGGATTGGTTTCTTTGGATGGTTAAAAGAATTAGAGGGTAATTAAGCTTTTCTGGAGCTGCCAACTGTATTGGGAGTTTGGTGCATTCTTAAGGCTTATTTAAAAATAGCTTCTTCAGAAATTGAATTATTTAACCAGTAGAATTCCTGAGGGCATATTCCTTTATCTGGTAGAGATTACTTACATGACTGAGATTTGTATCAAGTAGAAGAAAACCCTCTTTTATGTAAGGCTAGAATTAATGTTGTACTATCTCATTCTGAATTACAATGTTAAATTTATGATTTTTTATGGAGTGCTTTTTTCTCCCCTAAACAATACATACTTTTAAAAAAATGCAGTCTTTGGGCGCCTGGGTGGCTCAGTTGGTTAAGCGACTGCCTTCCGCTCGGGTCATGGTCCTGGAGTCCCCGGATCGAGTCCCACATCGGGCTCCCTGCTCAGCGGGGAGTCTGCTTCTCCCTCTGACCCTCTTCCCTCTCATGTGCTCTCTCTCTCATTCTCTCTCTCTCAAATTAATAAAAATAAAAAAAAATAAAAAAATGCAGTCTTCTAAAAAACTGAAGAAACATTTATTCAGATACTTTTAAATATCCAGATTCAGCCATGATCTTTGTTTCTTGAACCCCAAATCTAAATCTAGATAAAATACAGAAAAGCCATTATTTTTATGAACTATAGTTATGATGTCTAAAATTTTATCTAAGTAAACTGGGTTGTTGTTATCTCTAAGACCCAAGCCTTCTAATTGAACCATAAAGGAGAGAGAGCAGAACTATAACCACTTCTATTCAGCATAGTACTGGACATCCTAGTTAGAACAGTTAACCAAGAAAAGGAAATAAAATGTACCCCAGTTGGAATGAAGAAGTAAAAAATGATCTGTTTGCAGATGAAATGAGTTTATATTTAGGGCGCCTGTGTGGCTCAGATGGTTAGGCGTCTGCCTTCGGCTCAGGTCATGGTCCCGGGGTCCTGGGATCAAGCCCCACATCTGGCTCCTGGCTCAGTGGGGAGCCTGCTTCTCCCTCTCCCTCTGCCTCTCCCCTGCTCATGCTCTCTCTCTCTCTCTCTGTATCTCTCTGTCTCAAATGAATAAATAAAATCTTTAAAAAAATGAGTTTATATTTAGAAAACCCTAAAGATCCCACAAAAAAACCCGTTAGAACTAATAAATGAATTCCACAAGGTAGCAGGATACAAAGTGAACACACAAAAATCAGTTGCATTTCTATACACGAACAATGAACAATCTGAAGGGGAAATTACAAAATTCTATTTAAAATAACATCAAAAAGAATAAAATAGGAATTAACCAAGAGGTGAAAGTCTTGTATAATGAACTACAAAATATTGCTGAAAGAAAGAAGACACGTAAATGGGAAGACATCCCATGTTCATAGATTGGTAATACATAATATTGTTAAGATGTCAATACTACCTAAGGTAGTATTGCCAAGATCTTTCAATAGGCAAGGGACAGTCTTTTCAACAAATGGTGCTGAGAAAACTGGATATCCATACAAAGGAATGAAGTTGGACCCATACCTAACAGTGTATATAAAAGTTTACTCAAAGTGGATCAAAGACCTAAATGTAAGACCTACAACAGTAAAAGTACTAAAAAAACAAAAAACAAACAAACAACCCCCCCCCAAAAAAACCCTAGGGCAAAAGCTTCATGTCATTGGATTTTACAGTGATTTCTTGGGTATGACA